AGGACTATATTTTATAACTCTTTTGGATTAAAAAAAATTCGTATTTACCTTCAAATCTGAGCTCACTTTAGTATTGATGGACACTTAGTAATAAAGATAAAGTTCTTTCTAATTATTATAGGTTATAGTATTTGGTATAAACTGACAAGTTCAAATTATTTGAAATAAGACCACACAAGATGCTCATAACTGGAACCATGTAGCTCACAATTTAAAATAATTCAGAAGGCTTTTGTTTTTGGCCATGAGAATTTTAAGCATAAATGTGAATCCATGTATTTGCTGGTGTGTCCCTCAGTATAACTGACTCTGGTGTTTGCTGGTGTGTCCCTCACTGTAACTGGCTCTGATGTTCTTTCTTTAGATAGGAACTTATTTTCTCTCTATAAAAAGACTGAAACCTATTGTCTTGGAAATCTAAATGGTATGATTTGGTAAGAGTAAAAAATAAGGCAAAAATAAAATACAAAGAAAAATTAGACATCTTTGACATATGAGAACAGACATTTAGAAATAAAAAGTTTTTAAAAAGTAAACATAAGACCCAAGATTGAGTCAACATAGAACTGAGAAATTCTAGTGGCAGTTGACAGTTGAGAGAACATAAAGTATGCAATTTTTTGGTATTTGCTTTTCAATAATCTCATTATGTTTCTTAAAATGTTCACTAAAATCTTTTAAGCACAAAAATTCATATTTCTACAGGTAATCTTAAAGAAAACAAAAGAAGAGTGTACTGGGTTACATGATCTGATAAAAATGAGATGTCTATGAGAATGAAAGCCAGGGCTGGGAGGAGACCTGGAGGAACCAGGGGAGACAGGCAGCCAAAGACAACAATAACAGGGGTTTGGGGCTAGGGAACCTTGGAGGAGTCACAGGGATGTGGATAGGTGCATATACTCTTAAGAATGGGGTTCCTCAAGGATGCCTGCATCTGTTTATGTCCTCCATCCTTACTCACATCTTCTCAGCTTTGCTACCAAAGCCTCAGAGATCATCGCTCCTTGTTTGTGGAGTCCTTTCAATAGCTTCCATATATACCACATTTTAGGACCCTGAACCTCAATCTTAGACTTATGGAATATTCTACTTGTTCAAAATTTTTCTTCACTTGAAATACTTCTGATGTGACCCTTTAAAGGTTTTAAAATATAAAAACATTGTCTACAACACCACGATAAATTCTATCCTGGTTAATCAGATTATGAATTAAAATAGGATATTCATCTTCCCTATTTGGTGATAGATGATAAAATTTCAATTATTCTTTTGTGATTTGTGGGAAAAAGTTTAAATGTCAGGTCAATATCCTTCCCACCTCTAAGTTTTCATACTATAATGAAATACACAATTCTTTAGTGTGGATTCCAACATTGCAGCCCAAGAAACACAATGAAAGACAGCTCTATCACCCTCTCTTGTGGTCTTTTGCATTTTAGCATGAGCTGGATGACACTAAGAGTGAGAAGTAGGACTTCCGTTGGTGGGAGAGACTTCCATCACATACCTCATCTTCTTGACTAGAGGTCCCTTTAACTTCTCATATCTTTTTAATGGTGGCATTGGTTTTCACAACTCAAGTAGTACAATTCACAGCAAGTTGTTAGAAAATGAAGTGGGGGGGGGCTTTAGGTTTAATTTCTTTTCCTATTGCTATAATAAAATGCACAGATAAAAGCAATGTAGGGAAGATGCTTTCTTTAATTCACAGCTCCAGGTTTCATGGGAGGGAAGTAGAGGCAGCAGAAGCTGGAAGCAAATGGTCACTTTGCATCCATGGTCAAGAAGCAGAGAGCAACAGATGGATGGTGGTACTCAGCTCCCCTTCCCCATTTTATACAGACCATGATCTCCTGCCCAAGGAATAGTCCCCTCACAAGTAAGAGGTATCATCACACATTAATTAACATAATAAAAGTAGTCCTCCACAGGCAAGAGTAGAGGCCTGTTACTAGTGATTTTCTTTGAATTGAAACATGCCCTTCTGGTGGGAGAAAGGAGAATCACATAACTCAGGAAGGAACAATCTTAGGCATCTCTGAGAACCAAAAAATAACAATTTATAAGATCCCTCCTCAAGGAGCATTCAGCAGGTACTAGGGAGAACAGCCTGTCTGACCTGGGAAGGCAGAAGCTGGCAGATTGCTGAGTTTGAGGCCAGCCTGGTCTAACCATCAAAAACAGAAAGTTGGTGAAGATGTAATTGAAGGGCGGGGGGCATGTTCCAGCCCTAGTAAACAGCAGAACTTAGCAACTCTGGTCACGTGGTTCTGGAGTTAAGGATACATGAAAGGGGTGATGGAATCTTCCTCTGTGACTAAGGAAAGCCACTGAAGCCAGGCATGTGTCAGGGATGACCCTGAATGGAGGCCCAGAGAGGCCATTGTGTGAAGCTGTGAAGTTGAAGCCTAGATTACCTTGGAGAACCCAAGACATTGGAGATGCCAGAGCCATGGGTTACCTGCTGAGGAAAGCTGTTAATAGGGAGTGGAACCAGACCAAAGTGCGTTGCAGTCAACAAAGCTGAAAGGAGTTGGAGTTCTGAAGAGTGCTTTGATACCAGGCATGGAGCTGCAAAATTTAGAGTTTGCCTAACTGGTTTTTTGTCTTCTTGTGGTTAGGTATTTTCTCACTATGCTCCCTTCCCTATGTTTTAGAATGGTAATGTATATCCTGTGCCATTATATGTTGGAAGTATATAATCTGTTCTTTTTATTTTTATTTTATAGGAGATTATGGTTAAGAGAGTCTCAGAATAGACTAAACATTGTTGAGACTGTGATAGACTATGGGGACTCTTGAAGTTAGACTAAATGCATTTGGCATTATATTGTTACAAGCTTATGGGGGCCAGCGAGTGTAATTTTGTAGTTTGAATGTAATTGGCCCCTAAGCTCATAGGGAGTGGTACTATTAGGAGATGTGACTTTGTTGCAGTAGGTGAGACCTTATTGGAAGAAGTGTATCACTGTGGATGCAGGCTTTGGGGGCTCATATATGCCCAAGCTGTGCCCAGTGAGAGAGACCACTTCCTGTTCCCTGCAAGATGTAGGACTCTCAGCTACTTCTCCAGCACCATGTCTGCCTGCACACTGCTATGTTCCATGATGATAATGGACTGAACCTCTGAAAATGTAAGCCACCCCAAATAAATATTTTCCTTTATTAAAGTTGCTGTGGTCATGGTGTCTCTTCACAGCAATAGAAACCCTAACTAAGCCAACACTCTACCTCAAGGCTCAGGGATCTTCTCAGGGGTTGAGGGGAGTAGGAAAATGTAAGAGACACAGGTAGTGGATGACTTCAAGAAAGCAGTATTTTCTGAACACAGCAAGGCAGTTGCACATATGAACTCACAGTGATTGTAACAGCATGCATAAGAACTGCTCAAATGCAGGCCGGAAAAATAACCCCAGAATGGAAAGGGGAAAGTGAGTATAAAATCCCATCTCTAGCATCTCTAGCTGGGGAGCTATTAGCATTTGATAGGTTCTGGGAAGGACAGTCTTAGTTTCCTTCAACTATGTGACCACTAATAGGTTGACCACACTCTAGGGCATGCCCATACCTAAGAGTAGTTGACTAAAACAAACTGGAATCAGTGGGTTTAAAGAGAGATTGAGAAAGAGAAATAAAAAGAGACAGAGAAAGGAATGATAGAGTTAGAGATGGAGATGGTAGAAAAGCAGGTGATAGAGATATAGATGGAGATAGAAATGATAGAGATGGGGGTGATAGAGGTGGAGATGATATAAAGAGATGGTTACCTATCCTTCTATATAGATCTCTCTCTCCCTCTCTCTCTATATATCATATATTCTATACATATGTGTAATATATGCATATATAATATACACCCATGTATATATATATATATTATATAATATATATTACGGATATGGTTAGATAGACAGAACATAAAGTTGGGTGGGCAAGGATGTGTTGGAGTAGTTGGAGGAGGGGAGTGAATATGATTAAAATACATTGCAAGAATTTTTAAAAATTAATTGCAACATTATTAAAGAAATACAATGTACACCAATTTTCTTTAAGAGAAAAAAATAGTATTTTATTTCTCATATCATGGCTCAAACTAAATTCCCAAGAAGTCCCAGGCATTGTTGTAGCTGAGGCAGTAAGTAGCACATGTTGAGATGAGATGAGCAGCCCCTGTGAACATTTACCATCTTTCCTGTAGCACATTACAATCTTTTTTGCTTTTACACTTTTCCTATAATTTAACACCAGTTAAACTGCTGTGGCATCCATCTTGCTAGCATACCCCTGGGCCCCATGCCTGGTTCTGCATGGACTCTCGGTGAGCCTCATTTGGCCAGTCTCTCTCAGGCCTGTGGAGCAGTGTTCCCTCCCTCCTCACCCCTTCCTGTCCTTTTTGAGTAGGCCCTCTACCACTGTGACCTTGGCTTGGGACCTTCCTTTAAAGTGCAGTTTCTCACATGGCATATTTGTCCTTTCCCCTTCCAGATGTGCTGTGTTCACACCTTTTGAACCGGACATTCCCAATGCCCATATTTGATCTTTCAGATCCGGGATATCAACTTATTTTCATGCTCTCTCCAGCAGAGGTTTTCCACATCACTTGTATTTTGAAAGCAATGTCCATAGACTTTAATCTGCAAAGGACTAGAGATGTCACATTTTATCATCAAACGTAGACTATGGTGGTTGATTTTCTAGGAAGAATATATTCCTCATGCTCTTAAAAATAGGATGATAAAATCAAATGACCTGGAGGCTATTGTGTATAGCAAGGTTGAAGCCCTACAGATCTTCTGTGGCGACACTGAAGGCAGCATTTTCACGTTGTTAACAGAGGAATTTTTATGATGGAATCTTATGGACATGTAAATGTGCTAAACTTGTTAGAGGAAATGTTCCAACATGGCCTTTATATCCCTATAGAAATTATCAGACTTGATAATGCTTCAGGAATTTTGCATACAGTTTTCTTCTCTCCTGCTGGTATAGTCACTTACCCGTGATGGCCAATTGAGTCACAAAGAAGGTCATTCTGGACTTTCTTTTCCTTCTCCAAGTGGAGAACAGCACAACAGAGTTTCCCACAATGGTGAAGACAAACAGGACCCACAGGGTTATCAGCTGTTCTGTCTGCAAGAAATAGAATAGCTTGAAACAGAGCAGGTAAAGGACCAGGTGCTTCCCAGGATGGATGGTACAGGCTGGAAAGTGTTTTTCTGGACCCTTCCTTACTCCCTTCCCCACCCCTGCCCAGGGAAGCTTGACCCCTTACAGAAGCAGTGGAGTAAATTGATGCAAACAAAAATTCTTCTTCTTTGGCAAGGAATTTTAACTTTGTGTGAGAGGTTAGGTTATATAAAAGAACACCACAGTCACAAGATGTGAAAAGAAGTGTTTAAAGGTAATAAGATAGGTAAGTAAACTCTTCAATTTGGTGAACTATTGTGCAGCTATCAAAGGTGAAGTGATGAAGACTTGGTAGTGACGTTGAAAATACTCATAGTATAATATTTAAATGGGAAACCATGATAAAATTGTATATTGGGTATGACTACAACTTTGCAAAATTACACATATAGGGACAGAAATGAAGTGCACTAAAATGTTAACAGTGGTTATTTTAGGTAGTATGATTATGGGTTATCTCTCTCTTTTCCTTTGACAAATTTCATAAGATGGTAATATTAAAGTTCTGCTGAATAATGTATAATTAATAAAAAGAAGAGCAGGGATGCCACTCACTTAAAATGCCAAGTCCCTCAGAAGATGTTTTTTATGCTCACTTCAAATGGAGCATTTTATCTGTTTGATATCCATAGCACAGAATAAACAGAGGGACTGCCTAGGCTAGACTCAAGGTGAGATATATTGTGAGGCTTGTGGGGAAAGGACATGGGCCCAAAGGAATCCAGAGGAAGCCAGAAATCAAAACCAAATCAGCCAAAGCAATCCAGGTGAGATCATTTTAGGAGTGGGCCAAGAATGTAAGAATCTCAAGTACAGATCAAATTCCATGTGTTAGGTAGCTAGATTCGGAAACTCTGCTGCTTGGCCAAACATGAGTCTGAGACATTGAAAGCAAGTATTTTTATTGACGTGATTAGCATCCATTAGCAGTTGATTTTGGGTGAAGGGGATTCTCCTCCACAATGTGAGCAGACTTGTGCAGTGAGTGGGCTTTCAATGGGATCGTGTACTAACAAACCCCTTTAAAGTTGAAAATATCACTTCATGTGTGTATTTAGTATATCTAACACATCAATCATCATAGTACATTTACATTTACATTAACATTTTAGTGCACTTCATTTCTGTCCCTATATGTGTAATTTTGCAAAGTTGTAGTCATACCCAATATACAATTTTATCATGGTTTCCCATTTAAATATTATACTATGAGTATTTTCAACGTCACTACCAAGTCTTCATCACTTCACCTTTGATAGCTGCACAATAGTTCACCAAATTGAAGAGTTTACTTACCTATCTTATTATCTTTAAACACTTCTTTTCACATCTTGTGACTGTGGTGTTCTTTTATATAACCTAACCTCTCACACAAAGTTAAAATTCCTTGCCAAAGAAGAAGAATTTTTGTTTGCATCAATTTACTCCACTGCTTCTGTAAGGGGTCAAGCTTCCCTGGGCAGGGGTGGGGAAGGGAGTAAGGAAGGGTCCAGAAAAATACTTTCCAGCCTGTACCATAGCTTAGCCAACCTTAGCTGTGTTCGGAACACTCACATTAAGTCACACTTAGACACAATTATCTAACATAAAAATCTATTTTATGAGAAAGTATTAAATATTATATGCAATCTTTGGAAAATCATAGCAAACAACTGCTTCCTTTCATGACAGTGTGGCTCACTGAGCACCACCCTCCCTGTTCCCACCAGTGATATAGATATATAGGGTATAGATATGATAGGATAAAAGGGTAGATTAATGAACCTACTTTTAAAGAACAACAACTTGTTTAAAATGTTTTACATTGGTATACATTTTAGTTTATGTTTAAAATGTTTTACATTGGTATAGATTTTAGTTTATTGATACAAACTTAAAGTTAATTTTGCTATACTGTATATATATTTTTATTCTCATTTGAGGTATTATATTTATGTAACTCATTTAGATTATAATGGATAATTAAGAAATATAGATTAATAATTAGTCTTCTATGATAGTCAAACTTGTAGCCATGTTAGTTAAGTTTTCTAGGTATACATAGATGTATTTCAGATAGATAGTTAATCTTCAAACACTTCAAAGACCTACAGAATATGGCATTTAAAATGTTTTAAAAATTTAGATTTTCTGGACAATGAGACATGTCTGCTCCTGGCATCACCGATTTACTTCAGAAAGGAGAATGGGCATCGAAGACACTCTGTATGGAGTTTATCTTCACCTTGGCAAAAATAGCCATTTGGGCAAGAAACTGTTCTTTCCTGGACTGCTTGATTGACTGGACATACAAGACCCATAAAAAGGTGACCACTGAATTTTGTTTGACAAAATGGTCCTTTAGGTTCCTGTTTCACACACACACACAAAAAAAAACCTGTCAGATATTCTACAGGACACAGAAAAAAATGACTAAAAACTCTAGCCCTGTGGGCTGAAGACAGATGTCCCAACTTTACAAGAGAACTTTGGATGACTGTCCAGGCTGTCAGCTGTCTCTGTCTACCCTGCAAGACTCCCGAAAGTTGTTTGTATTCTCCCGTTTCTCAGGTAATATTATATCCTTCTAAGGTCTTTGATGTAGTTGAAGCTAGATAGTTACAATTTTCCTTAGTTATGATAAAAGATAAGTTAGATATAAAATCTTAAACTCACAAATATAAGATAGATAAAATATCTTCTTTAATATTGTAACTGTAATTCTTTCTCAATAATTGTTTTGTTATATGTAATTTCACTATGTTAAAGTTAAAACTTTCCTTTTTGAAAAAGAAGAAAAGGGGAAGTACTGTGGATATCAGTCCGTATAAATAAACACTGATTGGCCAATAGCCAGACAGGAAGTATAGGCGGGACTAACAGAGAGGAGAATTGAGGAAACAGGAAGGGAAGGGAGAGGTGGCCTGGAGCCTCCACCAGGACAAGGAAGATGTAAGGTACCGATAAGCCACGAGCCATGTGGCAAAGTATAGATTAATAGAAATGGGCTAAATATAAGAGTAAGAGCTAGACAATGATAGGCCTGAGCTAATGGCCAAGCAGTTTAAATAATGTAAGAGTCTGTGTGTTTATTTTATAAGTGGGCTTTGGAAGTGGCGGGACTTGGCAGGAGCTGGAGAGAAATTCTCCAGCTACACACCAGCATCATAAAGAAAATCAAACTGCTCATTGCTATCCCAGGAAAAAAATTCCATATTCAAAATTCAAAGCACCATTTATAGAGCTGGGAGTTTAGCTCAGTGTCAAGTGCTTACTTACCCTTGACAGAGCCATGGGTGGTAGCCTCAGCACCACACAAACACACACAAAAAATTATACTGAGTTCTTTCACACCACCATAAAGTAAAAAACTCAGGAGCTGAAGCATCACTAAACCAAGGAATACACACACACACACACACACACACACACACACACACACACACACACACACATTTATATATCTGTATATATGCTCACACTCATAAGCCTTTCACTGATACTCTCTGTGCATGCCAAGCTCAAAACTAACACCATTTGCCAATTAACATAGAAATTAATTCTAAGTTATGTGATAACAGAAGAATTGATTCCTTTTTAAGAAACTGGAACAATGCAGACCATATCCTTTTCAGTTGCCTTTCCATTTTAATCAACTTCCCTTCCCAAGGCAAACATCATCAAAACGTTTTTTTACTGTCAATTAGCACACAAAACATTAGGTTCATTATGACATTTTAAATGTGTTTTTGCTGAGTCCCCTCCTCCCAGCTTCTCCATTTCCCTGACCCCACTTGTGGCCTTCCCCAGACACCTGCTTCCCACTGTCGTGTCCATGTGTTCAATTGCTCACCTAGGAATCGGCTCCCTAAACAGTTTTTTTTCCTCTCACGAGGACTCCTTTATGTTTTTCATAGCCAATGCCCACATTCAGACCTGCACACATAATCAGATCTTATTAAAGGCCATGCTTCCCAGCAGGGAGAAGAATCTATGATATGTGTCTTTTTGTGTCTGGCTCAGCTCACTTTATATAATTCTTTCCAGATTTATTTGTTGTCCTGAAATTTTCACAGTTTTATTTTATTTTAGATTTTAAAAGCATACTTTATGAATAGCAAGGTGATTTATATATCATGTTATTGTTTTTCATTTCATTTATTTATCTAATAATTAAAATTTTATTGTGAAGAATTTGCAAATAAAATACATTACATGCTGAAATTAGGCAGAATCAAAGTCCACACATCTCAATGAATTTCTATCCAGTTAGAGTGGCCATTTGGAAGGAGCAAGGTTTTACATTCTCACTAGAATAATATAGTTCTTTAAAGTTTGGGTTTTTTGGTTACTTTATTATTTTTTTAAAAGAGGGATTCTCATTGTGTATCTCTGGCTGGCCTGGAATTCAATATGTAGATCTTCCTGCCTCTACCACTGGGGTGTTGGGGTTAAAAGTACGCCCCACCACTCCCAGACCTAAGAGATTGCAGTTTTAAACAGAAGAAAACAGGAAACTGTTTCAGGTTACAAAGTTCCTCTCTCCAGATCAATTATTTTTAAAAATTACTTTTCCTAAGTTGGTCAATACAAGAAATGTATTCAATGACTAGCCATGGCTAGTTCCATTGCAGTGACTGGCCGTGGAATTAAAAAGGAAGCCCAGGTTTACAGCCACCACATCAAAGGGATAATGCATGCTGGATTCCTTAGCAATGCGAAAATGGTTCTTGCTACTGCAATAAGTGGAGAGTTGAATTCACATAGTTACCACAGCTGGTGGAAGCCATAACAGAGTTAAAACTAGAAAAAAAAAAAAGCTATGTATTTTGTTTCATGGCTTATGTGCCTCTTTCTTGATTTCCTTTCTAAACTTTTAGACTTTACTCACATATTTTTCTTTATAGCCAAATGTGGTTCTAAGAAAATATAATTTTGATTATAGTGTATATCCTGTTTGTGCT